ATATATGTATATATTATTGATTTGTGCTTCTTATTTTTATTGATCAATCTAGCCTGAGGTTTGTTAATTTTATTGGTCTTCTTTCAAAGAAACAATTTTTTACTATATTGATTTTCTATATTATGTCTTTGTTTTTTGCTAATATTTGCTTTGTTTTAAAACCATGTTATTAAGTACATCTACATTTATAGTTTATCTTTTTAGTGAATTGAATTTTTATGTGACTCTCTTTGTTTCTAGTAATGCTTTTTGCCTTAAAAAATGCTTTTTGCCTTTAATTAAATTAAAGCTTAATTTATTTTGTACTAATAAATCTGTGGTACCTTATGTGTATTCATTCTGTTATTTTCAATATACCTTGTATCTTGTGTCTGTAGATAACCCATGGTTGGACTTTTAAAACAATCCAGTTTTACAATCTTTACTTCTAAATTTAATCCATTAAAATTGATGGTGATGAGTGATAGATTCGGATTCATCTTTAGCACATTATTTTTGCTTTCTGTTTGTATAACTTTATGTTCTTTCTTTTTTATTCTCCTTTTTTGTCCTCTTTTAGGTTGGTGCAAGTTTGTTTTTGTTATTTTCTGCTTTCTACATTTTTTTCTGTTAGGGTGGAAGTTACATACTTTACCTTTTAGTGATTATGTTGCATATTTTAATATGCATTTTTAAGTTCCAAAGTTAGTCAGTATTTTTACACTTCTCCTGAATAATGCTCAGAGCTAAGGAATGCTTTAAGTTTGATATTCCTTCCCATATCATATTCTGTTAATACCCAGAGTTTATTGCTACCTGAATTTTAAAATCCAATTAATTAGACATGGTCAAGATTTTTAGAATTACAAAGAAGTTTTCTTTTTTTTTTTGCACTTCAGACCTTCCTTTTTGGAATCTTTTTCATTAGACTGGATTATTTCCCTGAAACAGTACTAGTTTACCAGACTTTTGAAATTTTCTCCTTTGAGCGTCTTTGGGAGGTAAACTCTCCCATTTATGTTTGCCTGAAAATGTTTCTCTCACCCTCATTCTTGAAAGGTGGTTTCTCTCGATGTATAATTTAGGTTGAAAGCTATTTTTTTCCCCAGCATTTAGAATCTATTTTCAATTATTTTTGACTTCCATAAAAGTGAACTGTCAGTATAATTCTCATTGCTTTGTAAGGGATCATTCTTTTCTTTTGGATGCTGTAGCATTTTCTTTTTGTCTTTATTTTGGAGTTTTATTATAACTTACGTAAGCACAGATTTCTTTTTATTATTATTGGATTACTGGGCTTCCTGAATCTTCCTGTCTTCTATCAATTATGGAATTTTGTAATTCTTTGACTCTTTCCATCTCTAATACATCCTTCTGGAATTACAAGTAGAATTTTATTGTACATCCCCATCTTGTGCCCCAATTCTACTAAACTGTTTTGTTTTCACATTTACTATCTTCAGTATCTGTGCTATATTTTGGATAATTTCTTCAGATCTTTCTACTAATTCTTCTGTTGTTTGTATTCTACTACCAAACCACTCCATTCAATTTTTCCTCTCAAGAATTATAGATTTTTTTATATTTAGAAGTTCTGTTTTGTTCTTTTCCAAATCTTCTTGTTCAATTTTGATAATCCCCTTCTTTATTATTCTTCCATATACTCTTTATTATGTATATATTTGCTATCTTTGTGGGTTTGATTCTGAACTTTGTTTTCTCAGCTCTTTACCCGTAGTGTCCTTCTTCCTCATGTATTTAGTGCTTTTCTTTAAAAAAACAAACAAAAAAAAGTGAGCTAATAATCTTCCTATGAAATGCTTCAGAGCCTTCCAGAGATTTTATTTGCTTCTGGGAGTTATAGGAGAGTCCAGCCAACCTGGGAACACTTTTTAAAAAATTTATTCCCATGAAAAAATCTTTTATTATGGAAAAGTTGTAAACATACACAAAAGAAGACAGAATAGTATAACTCAGTATTTATCGCCCAACTCTAACAACTAACAACTCCTGTCCAATCTTGTATCATTTAAATTTCCATGATCTTATTCCCTTCCTATAATACTTTGAAGTAAGTGTAGACAGCATTCCATATTATCCATAAATTTTGGACTATGTATTTCTAAAGATAAGATCTCTTTTGAAATGCATGACCACAATACCATTATCAGTCTAAAAAAAATTAACAAAATTCCTTAATATCATCAAAAATCCAGTCAATAGGGCTTCCCTGGTGGCGCAGTGGTTGAGAGTCTGCCCGCCAATGCAGGGGATGCAGGTTCATGCCCCGGTCCGGGAAGATCCCACATGCTGTGGAGCGGCTGGGCCCGTGAGCCATGGCCGCTGAGCCTGCACGTCCGGAGCCTGTGCTCTGCAACCGGAGAGGCCACAACAGTGAGAGGCCCGCGTACCGTAAAAAAAAAAAAAAAAAAAAAAATCCAGTCAGTATTTAAATTTGCAAACGTGTCATACATATATTAAACTTTAAAAACATAATGTATTTGTTTAAATCAGGATCCAAATAAAGTTCAAACATTATCTTAAGTCTTAAATAAACTTTTATTTATTATTTTATTTATTTATTTATTTATTTATTTATTTTTGGCGGTATACGGGCCTCTCACTGTTGGGGCCCCTCCCACCGTGGAGCACAGGCTCCAGACGCCCAGCCGCTCCGCGGCATGTGGGATCCTCCCCGACCGGGGCATGAACCCGTGTCCCCTGCATCGGTGGGCGGACTCTCAACCACTGCGCCACCAGGGAAGCCCTATTATTTTATTTATTTATCTTTGGCTGCACTGGGTCTTTGTTGCTGTGCACGGGCTTTCTCTAGTTGTGGCGAGCTGGGGCTACTCTTCATTGCGGCGCACAGGCTTCTCATTGCGGTGACTTCTTTTGTTGCGGAGCACAGGCTCTAGGTGCGTGGGCTTCAGTAGTTGTGGCTCGTGGGCTCTAGAGTGCAGGCTCGGTAGTTGTGGCACACGGGCTTATTTGTTCTGTGGCATGTGGGATCTTCCCAGCCCAGGGATTGAACCCGAGTCCCCTGCACTGGCAGGCGGATTCTTAACCACTGCGCCACCGGGGAATCCCCTAAGTCTTTCATAAACTTTCAGTCCATAGATTCTCCCCTCCATCAATCTGTTTGTTTCCCCTTGTAATTTATTTGTTGAAGATGACCATGTTGTTTTTCTGTTTACCTTTTGCTGTATAACAAGCCTCCTGAGAACTTAACAACTTAAAACAACAATTTATTATTATTTCTCATGTTTCTTTGGGTTGACAGGGTTCAGATGGATACTTCTTGCTTGACTTCTCTCCTGCAGTTGCAGTTAGATTGTGGCCAGGGCTGATGTCATCTAAGGGTTGGCCGGGCTGATTGTCCAGGGTGGTTTCTTCACTCACTCACATGTCTCACATACCTTGATATTCCTTGGTGTGTCTGCCTGCCTCTCTCTCTCTCTCTTTCTCTCTCTCTCTCTCCCCTTCTCCCTTTCCCCCTCCCTCCCTCTTCCTCTCCCCTCTCCCCCTCTCACCACATGGCATCTCATCCTCCAGGGTCTTTCCATGTGGTGTAGGCTTCTCACAGCATGGCAGTGGGTTATTTGCACTTACTACATGGCAGCTGACTTCCAAGAATTAAGAAGTGAAAAATTAGGCCATATCGTGGTTACACCTGCAACTGGCACAGTTTTACTTCATTACTTTGCCAGAGTCAGCGGGTCAAAATAGTCA